CACGGAATCGTAATTGGAACCGTTGTGTTTACACTGATCTGAGTCTATTATCTCGCTGGATTGCCAAATACTCTATGTATACCTGAATACGTGATATTCCTGAATTAACGAAATTATCTTTTGTATATTACATTGGGGTACAACCATTAGGTACATTTCGTTTGTGGCTACGATTAAAAAAAATGAAAATGACTATTGTGTGGTGTATTAAAATAGGACTAAAATTACAGTCGACGAAATATTGGCATTCGGTTCCCCCCCCCCCCCTTCGGAAATAAAGACTTGATTGTGTACAAATGAATGTAAATATGAGTATTTTTTCCAAGAATGATCCTGCTTAAAATAGGGTTGTAATAGGAAAAAAATATGTAATTAGTTAAATTAGATTGACATCTCATCAGACAAATTCTCTTTTTTTTTTTTTGGGACTCAAAAAAAGAATTTATCCCTTATGAGATACTTTGATTATGTAGGTATTAGAGAAATGCAGTAATATAAATCATGCCAGTGCGAAGCCTGAGCGAGTACTAGGTATTTCATTATAAGGGATAGGGCCTGGTTAAGCGCGGCGTCGATCCGGGGGGACCTGAAATAACATGCTCCGGGTCCTCCTCGGAGAAGGGCGCCTGAGTCCGGCCGTCGGGGTGGTTTTTAGTGGAAACACATACTCCTGGCTCCTACATCCCCAAGGAGCCTGAGATCCTAAATGATTTTTTTGAACAATAAATTAGATTAAATAATTATTTGTTTTTATTTTTTTCCATTATTTTAACGCCGTTTTTTTCAGGTATTTAGATACTATTAGATGGATACTAGTTAAGATTTATTGACTTATATTAAGAAATTAATTAAAAGAACAAGAAGTGGTATGTTAGATTAGATCGGCTAACGTTCGAACGAGTTTAACTTAGGGTTAACTTACGATATCAGCTAATGTAATTACTTAGGTAAATTTAAATGTTCCCAATGTACTGCATTAGTTAGTAGGTATATGCTCAAAAACGTGGTATAAAAATGCGTAGTCATATAAATAGCTGTTAGTGATATTTGTTGATCATATGGAAGACTGCTAAACAGTGTCCAACACGAACGAATTCAGGAGACACATCTGACGGCACCAGCTTGATAACTTTGAACAAAGTTATTCTGTCTAGTAACCCTAACGGTGAACAAATTGTACGTTTATAATTATTACGGTAACATTTATTAGTTGTCACTTGACTCTTAGTAGATGTAAAAAAAATGTGGAAAGATAGAAGACTCTAAGACGATTAGTCGCAGAGTTGATCAAAGTTTCTGGAAGTTGTCAACTGCTTACAACTGTCAACAGAACAGTTAAATAGCATTTTGATGATGATTGTACCTTACTCATTGTGTTAAAGAAACGTAAAGTCAAATAAAAAGAAATGTATTTTCGCATAGATTTTATTCTTACAGACAATTCCATTATATTTTCGTTTACGTGCTAAATATAGATAGACAACAGCATGTACCAAATATTAACACTTACATCAAAGTACATACACGCTTATACTATTTATCCTGTTTAAATCACTGCTCCACTGTGTACTGTCACGAATAGGTATAATTATTGAACCACAATATTTACATATCATTAAATCAATTCAAGACAACATAATCTGAAATTCCCAAGAGTGTATTTATGATACTTGAAGCTCTTGTAATGTGTTACAAGAAATTACTTTTTAAAAGCTCATTTACTGATAAATACCCTCAATTTTTTGTAACGTTTCAGTTATACTTAGTTAACTTACTAGCATGTAAACAAAGTTTAATTAAGTTAACAAAGTAAGTTTACATTATATGACGCCCACATACTTCCAATACTGATAAGGATAAGATATTCGTGACTGCAAACATCTTGACAACAGTTTTTATTACTTAAACCACGATGTTCCCTTAAATGTACGGAAATTCATTTCGAAAAATACCTATAAATGATATTTACAATGTGTAAAAACGCTTCTTTATGTTGAAATCCTTGAATTCACAAAATTAGGATGTTATGAGTTTTATGATTATGTCGAAATCAAGGTAATAATTTAAACACAAATTCTGCTTTCGATATCCTGTATTCGACAGCCATTGTTATCGAGAAGAAATTTATGTTAAAACTGAAGAGAAAGTTACTCTTAAATTCGATAAAGTTTTAATCCACTAGGTTTTTATAAAATAATTAATAGTTTAGGTACACAAATAACAGTGTTTATTTTTTTTAATAACTCATTGTCTCCAACTCTATGTTAAACTTCATAGAGTTAAAAAACAATGATTTGCAGTAGATAAACAACACCAACCTTTTTCGAATTTAATTTACTGTAAACAACATAAATTGCTTTCGATCCAAGTGATTGGTTTTATTTATTGTAGCTTGGAAATTGTAGGTCAGTCAATCAAGTACTATATTGTGTACAACAAAAGAAAAATATGTTTACCAGTTTTGTATATATCTAAATATACTTGTATATTTCTAAATACATACATATTATTGATAGATTACATCCCGACACATAACAAATCATAGGTCCAATCCGAGAGTTGACAATTTTTAAGAAATAGTTTAAAAGGCTTCATGTTTTTGAAATTTTATTTAAATTAAATTAAAAGCATATTTTAATTTAAATAAAAAAATGGATACAAAAACGCGGCATCGTGGTCCCGTAACTACTTTTGGCGTTATCATGCGACAGAGACTTTTAATTTTATGAAAATTGACTCTAAAAAAGGCCCGTATTTTAATAGACGTCTTAAGTATCGGTTTAACTCTGATTATCTAAAATGAGTTTTAAGTTTATATCAAAACTTAAACACCGATCTTATTATAGAATGCGTTTTAAGTTTTACTCAGTTGAAATTTATCTCAAGCACTGATTTGTATTTACAGTCTATTGTCAATTACGTTTCAGAAACAAATCATCGTTAAACACGCTAATTTCCGCTAAAATGCCCTAGAAATCACTGCTTGAGAATAGTTTCAGCTGTCAGAATCTACACTCGAGTGAAGACTTCGCCATAAACATCATTCCGAAATAAAATATCACTCACTTGACTCTTGACGTTCAATAAGAAAATCTCTACTTCAAACCAGTTTTAAGAATAGATTCACGACTAAGACACCTTTTAAAATAGGGGGTCCATTTAAAAAATGAGCACTGTACTCATATAACAATTTTAACATCACTGTATTCAGAACTTGAAAAGTTTGCCACAAATTCAAATCACTTACTTACCAAATTATTATTTGTATTTTTTGTGCGCTTACGACACATTTCCTGATTCGTGCTTGCAACATGACTCCCGAATCCTATTTTACTCAAGAGAAAATAAAATAAACTAGTAATTATAATTCCATCATTTATATTATTGTAGACTTTCAATTAATAGATCAATTTAATTAAATAGTTATTTCCAGTTTTTACACATACTGTCAACTCGCGGATTTATTTATGTTGGGTGAGAATGAGGATCACACTACCTCGGACTCAGTAGTAGAGATCGGTAAACATTGGACCTATTGGTCCATTAACCTGGTCTATTGACCAGTCACTGTGACAGTCACAGTATTTACCGAAAGCCGCTGGTCTAAAATACAAAGAATGCAAACTCAGAATTGAAGCATGCACGGTAAAATGGAGATTGCTTTTAAAAAAATGATTTTATTTGCAAATAAATGATGGCGAATTATGATAATGATGAAAAATTTGACGGTATTCTAAAATCATAAAGATTATTGTTAAATACCAAATTAAATACAAGTATCTTAGACAATAAGTACATTTATTATATACAATAGAATATTTACATTTCTGTTTGTGACAGTTTATTCTAACATATTGTACTTAATTTAGAGGTAAGATTATTAATAAATATACAAAAAAAAAATGCTTCGAACAGTGTCTATCTTAGAATAGGAACCAAAATTATTCTTATATAAATTATGTTTAGTAAACCCATTGTAAATAAATTATTTTTTTATTTTACTTTTATAAATTATCTGTTATAACCGCTATCTGTACACATATTCTAGTTATTCACAGTGCCTCAGCTTATACACAAAATCAATTTTAATATATAAGAAATAAATACATAAACTACAAGAATATAAAATAAAATAAGTTGAAAGAACCTAAAATTTTTTTCTAATATTTTTTTGGACATAGAAAGTTAACTATAGTTTTTGTATTCAACTAAGTGTGTGGTTATATTATCTATATGTATATATTTATAATACATGTATATTTATATTAGTGACTATATAAAATACTAGTTTGAAACAGATTATTTTGATAAATTTTGTAAAAACATTTAAAAATGTAAATATACCTATAGGTATATGGGATGAGGCATAGATGGTTTTCAAAATTAACGAAAGTCTCAAAATAATCAAATATTTTGTAGTGTCGCTTGTTACACAAATATCTGTTAATAAATAGCCAATGTCTTGTTTCGAGTAAAATTATGATTTTCTCATTCAATAAATAATCAAGAGACAGAAAGGAAAGAGTTTAAGACACAAAAATACATTTTGTGTTAAATATTATCATCAGAAACCTTAAAGCTCGGAGGAAATACTAAAGCATTTACTGTAACAACTACATTTGTACCAAATTAAGGTGTTGTTTAACTTTAATATTATAATAAATTGTGAAAAATTAGTCGTTAAGTCATTTCGAACGCATTCTCATGTTTTCTATAATATTTATTCTGGTCTAAATCAGAGGCATTAATCGTAATTGTTATCAAAACTTTATATTTCCACTTAGCTTTTAAGAAAACTGCAAATAGCACCAACATAACGGAATCTGGTTCTATATACATCAAGATAAATAATCACAAGTAATGCAAAACGGGAAATCTTACATCCGAACTAAAATCACAAACCACTGCGTGTTCTTCACGATACAGTAAACACTGTTAAAGTCCACTTAAAAGCCCGTCGAGCCGCATCAGTCGTGGTAGTCCCGCGGCTCCGGCTTGAGCTACCAAACCAGACCTTCAGGATGCAAAGGAGGTGGGCCGTCTCCAAAGGTGAACTCCGGCGATGAAGGCCGAGGTAGGACGAGATGCTCCGGTGGAGGAAACTGCTCCGGAAACTCCCCGCCTGGAAGAGTCTCCATGCCCCCTGCGAAACGACCTGCTCCCGTTAATAATTACCTGGTACATACGATTATAAGGTTATAATTTAAATTGGTTCTGTGCGCCTCTTGCTTCGTATTGATAGACACAATTAGAACTACCTAATAACATTTGTGCTTGGTTTCCAACTTGTATTTGTTTGCTTGTTTAAATGTTTTAGAAATAAAACAAAGGCTAAAAAGATGCTACAGTATAATTTATACAAATATTTCTGTTATTTTATCATCAGAACTTACTAACCGAACGAGTTAATGTAGATGAGAGATACTAGGGGATCTCTATAGAGTTACTTCTATTCTGTGTGAGATACACTATACTATACTATTAACAGTTACTTTAATATTAAAATAGAATTTTCAATCATAATATTTTTAAGAAATACATAATATATAAATATGTAGGTATGTAACAGTTCTATCCAAGCTCATAGTTAGTCTTTAATTTAAAATGTCTATCAGTTTAAACTTGGCCCTGATTGGCAATTATAGTATAATTTGAACACGCCAGTCGACAATAAAGAAAATTTGAAATCAACTTAACATTGAAATTTTATGTGTAGAAGAACTGCTACTGTACACGTATCGAATAAAATAACATTCCGGTGGCCTTCGTATTCGTTCGGGCCATTACCTATAGATTTCATTGCCAGATAGTAGTTATTACATCTACTTTCTTAAAATCTTTCATATTTAAAAATCTTGTATAAAACTTACAGCACATCGGAAATAAATTGGCATATTATTTTTAAAACGATTAGTTACACATTCGCCCATAATCCTTCTTTCCCCTATTAAATATTTTTATGGCTAGGACAGATAGATAGCCAGAATTCATTATACTTGTTAATTATTGTGTTTTTGTATTCGTTTGTACTTATGTAGTAGTTATGACGATCGACGGTAGATTATGGCAGTAATCCAAGGCAATCTGGACTAGGTGGTCTTAGAAACGTTTAAAATCTATCAATTTGTCCTGAATTGAACAAAAAATACTATTTATAATACTAGTACTACAGTTCACATAAAGATTATTTAAAAATCTATATCTGACAAACAAAATTCTAATGGCATAACTTACTGCATTAAATTCTCATATTAACTATTGTCAACGTTCATAGACACAATAGTACACCTACGATATTGGTGGATTTCTACCAAAAAGTATACCAACCTGGCTGATTAAACGGCATTGCGGGCGGCGGATGGAAGAACGGGGCATCATGGTGGAACGGCGGGCCATATCCAAACTCGAACTTGCCATCTGCTGTCGCGAAGTAAGGAAACCCCGGTGGTCCTTCTTCGAGGCCACCTGGAGAGAGGTTCATGGGGAAGCCTCTCATCTTGCGGGATGACCCGAAAAACGGGCCCCGTCCCATGGAGGTCAACTGCTTGAGGCGACGCTCTTTTGATCTCTTGTTCTGGAACCACACCTATTGGAAGAAGCAAAGTTTACTTAATAATGCTTTCTCTTGATAGTCTTTTAACTTAGTTGAATAAATTATTTAATTTACAAATTAGTATATAGAAAGTAGTTAGAAATTCAAAATAGGCAAATAAAAGTTCTGTTTTATTTATTAATTTATTTTGGAAGACAGCTAGTTATCTAGATCATATAATTCAGAAAGTTTGTTAAAAATCATCTAGTCTTTGAAGAAAATATCCGATGCATTGTCAGATTTTTCCTGTACGCAAAATACTACCGTTGTCATATATGAAACAAAACAACCGGCAGTAAGTACTTTTGAAGTAACTTAAATCATATAGCGTGTTGTCAATAACGCCCTTAAATAACCCTTGGCTAATTTGAGGTTAGATTTCGGTAACGTGTAGCTGGATAGGAAAGGCCAGATACGCAGTAGGGACAGACTAACTGTACCTAAGTTGTGCCGTCAGTTATTCTGCATGTTGTCATATATTGTTAGTCTGCATAAGTATGCTCATATCCTATACAAGGCAATATATAAGACTATAAAAGATAATTGAAGTTAATAATTTCAAATAACTTAAAATTATTTCAACACAAAACTTCTGCAATACCTATTATTATAAAACTAGTACTTGAGTCTAGCGTTCCATTTCGCGTACACATTGACAGTTTTGTAATTTTCTAACGTTGTTTTTACAACGAAACTGAAATTATAAGTATTTGACTTTTTAGATAGGACTTTTTGCAGAATTACAAATAAAATGCCTTCAACAAGAGTCGAAATATTATCCACATCATAAAATAAACTTAACAGTAAAAATGTATTAAGAACGGCTATAGGTAATGTGGAGTGTTTCGTGTTGAAAAATTAATGTTTAGTGTTTCTCGCCGCACTTTGTGGTTATTGTGTATTTGTTACTGTCGGTTACAAAACAAATGATACTTTTACATCGCAACACTTGGGCATTGTTACTTTGTTTGTTTTTGAACATCTTTTTATTGTGAGTTACCGTAAGTACAAGTGTAGTATCAATTACAATTTACAAAAAATTAATTATTTGATGCCCCAAACAGTTTTTCGTTTCGTTCAAATATCTGCTTTTATAGTATTTTTGTTGATTTTATATTTTAAGTACGTAACTACAGCAATTAAGTAATTGCTGGTCATTATAAAGATATAGCTTAATACATATATAAACAACCGGCAAAATTAAATGGTAGGTATAATCGTAAAAAAAATATAATTGATACATCTACAATTAGCCGATCATTTAACAGACTGATTAGTGATTAAGCAATCAACGTCAAGGCCTAATTGACTAACAACTAAGTATTGCCATACTTTTTTCTACTTCTAAATTAAAAATTTAAAAATAAGATTAGTGGTGTAGTTCACGGCAAGTTACAGAGCAATCCCTAACTTGTGTAACGGCTGTATAGCGCGTCAGGTCGATTATGTCTCGTGTGTACTCGCCATTATATTTGCTACGCATTCAGGTGGGCACTGCGCCTAGATATCATGTGCCATTGACACGGTTTCGGACATGAAGGCCGAAGAATGACCCTCTCAACTGCGTTATCAAAAACGAGGGAATCAGTGAAGGGTCGAACGGTATTGCAAGACTCGAATTGTTTTAAAGTTTAGTTTAAAAAAAATATCGGCACTTAAATATTATTACATTAGTCATAAGAAGATCTGACGCCGTTTCCTTAGTCATTATCTCCTAGGACTATCATTTCCGACAGCTGATTCCACTAGAAAGTGAACTAAACTTTTCAAGGACGCTGTCTACAAAGTGTTGCTAGTTCATCGTCTGAATTAATTACTATCCAGTCACGCACGTGTCGGCTGTTTCGTTCACTCATTAACATTAGCATGATCCTATCGTTCATTCATTCGCGGTACAATTTAGTAGCAATTAAAAACCACTATTTGTTTGTATAGTAATTAACGTACTTTACGTTAATTTTCACAGTTAGAGAATAAAGTTTTTTGTTATGGATTCTAAGGTAATTTTTTGCTAATTTAAGTAATTGTAGAAGTATTGTGAGTTGTAATGCCTCAAAATCAATATTAATGTATCAGTACAAAACAAATAGCGATGCTTATTCTCTAAGCAAAACTATTAAATAAAGCGTCTTCGCAAATTATATTATAATTAGATTATTAAAATAATGGAGGCCGATAATGGAGAAGTTATGCCAGATTATTATATTACAATAGCCATTGTACTAACTACCCATTTTCGCAATAAAATAATTTAAATTTGAAATTTTGGCTATCCCTAGTAATAAATATTGAGAATTTATTTAGCAAGTTTGGATGCCATTTTTTATAAAAGTATAAATTTGGTCGAAGCTATTTGCTAAATGATTTATTCACAAGGATTTCCTTTCTCGGGTAAACCTGAGACTATGTTTATAAGATCCAATAAGAGAATACTACGTGTTTAGCAGGTCAGTGAGGTGACTCTGACCCGCTAAACACACTGTGAAAATATGGATCTAGAAATCTCGGGCTGAATAGGTACGGATATTGCTTTTCGCACTACCCCCGCTTTCTGACCCGTGATTACGGATTTGGAAGGCTGACTGACTGACTGAATTCGAATATTGTTAAGGCACTATTGTGATCTCTGATTCTAATCCAAACAATTTAGGAGTCATCTTTTAGCATTAGTTCACGTCCTTTCAAACGGCGTTAACTTCTCGCAATGCTATTGTAAGTAGGAACGACACAGAAGAGGTAAAGAATTTTGGGTGCGTTCATACAAATAATATTATGACTACTTTAATCCGTCAATAATCTTTTCGGTAATGTAGAATCACGGATAACGGAAAGAAATCGGATGAAGGAAGTCGGATCTACCATAGAAATAATACTACGACTATTTCGGACCATATTTTTACGGATCTGGATCGTATTCTGATCAGACGTAGTGCGAAACCGCTCTTAGGGTTTCTCCCTTAGGGTTATCGATACCCGAAATATATAAATACTGAATGTGAACATTTGCGTAACATAACACGCTAAAACAGCGACAAAAACATGAGCATAAAACAAGAGTGTCGTTGTTAAGGCTCGCACTAGCCCCGCTGCTCGAGCGCACACTTTGATCATGCCGCTCTCTAGCGCCCACGCATGGCATTTGCACAGAAAACACATTCACAATCCAACATTGACAGTTGATCTAATTATTTTACATCAGCTATATTGATTAATAAGCGAATTATAAAGTTTTTGATGTGTCTATTAATTTTATAATTTACATAAGGTCTTATTTTTAGTCATAAATTATTTTTATTTCCTTAATTTAAATCCAAACTAGGGCAATAATTTATTTATGTGAAATAGATCAAATTTTGAATCATGTATATTTGAAACTCAGATACCCATTAAAAAAAATAAGGCTAGATTATAAAATATACATTAAATACTTGGCTATCGAAAGTCCATCAAAATTTATTAAGTTTTTTTTTATTACCTTATTTGTAAGGAAAACTAAGCTAAATACTACAATAGTGCAACATGAATTAATTGCCATTCATTGTATACAAAAAAGTGCCTTAGCGTATCATACATAAAAGGCAAACATACTTACTGGACAAGTAGCTTGATGTAGCCGTTTTCACGTCATTTTTAAGTGTACATCATCATCATCAACAGCCTTTATAGTCCACTGCTGGATATAGGCCTCTCCTTAGAAGTAGGTTTTGGGCTACTATACCACGCTGGCCTGATGGGTTGGAATAGGGTTTGTTTCAAGTTCTTTCCTTCCTTCTCTTTACAGTGCTGTTGTCTTGCGTAGTTTGCTCCCTTAGTCGGTTATTACGACACCCACGGGATGAATAGGCATTGTGACAATCCGTATTCTTAATAATTAAGTGTACATCTCACATTGTTTGAAATTTTTTGTTGTCTTTACTTTTTCTAAACATAAACTTAAAATATTCTAAACTTTACATTATTCCGTACGTGTTTTTTTTAAAGTAGAGATGTAAGTAACCTAACCTGCTATTATTAAGTCTATTGTTCTCAATTCATACTCTTCTTAAACAATTTATTTTTAATCCAAAGTCAAATATAATGCAAACACAGGTAGGTTAGCTAAATGGTATATTTTTTGTCTGGTATAATTAACGATAAAACGTTCGAAGAGCGAGATACGTTTTATATGCCATTTATTTTAAATTTCATAGACAGTCTTATTTTCAATTACCTTCTTAACTTCCGGTAGCATTTCTATCGCCCATTGCTCTATTATCATTTAATACCAAAAAATAATAAACTCAATTAAAACGATGTTGTAAATATTATCATACAAATAGTGTCGCTCATTTTTGATAAAGTAATAAAAATAAAATCATTAAAATGTATAAAAGTTATTACAAATTTAATGATTGGTCTCTCAGAGAAGAGAATAGTTATCTATTTCCGTTGCTACATATAAGTACTTACGTGTACATGTATAATAATATAGTACACTCATAAAGTGATATTAAATTCATAGTTTTAACGGCCTAAAGGCTTTTTAGAGGAAAAACTTAATTAAAAACTTCAACATAGCTTTCAGAATGGGGTCTCCACTTCATTATTTTAAAAAGTATGATATATCGTCTTTTTACCTATGCCAGATCGGCTAAATGGATCTGTATGAAATTTGACACAAAACTAGATTAGAGATTATCATACTTTTATTATTAAGGGTTTTGTTGCACAAAATTGACAGTAACTATAGCGAAACTTAACTTAATTTGAGTCTGACTGATTTTTGTAAGACGGCATTGACATAGTTCATCAAAAGGAACATGTATCATTTTTTGTGCGATTAAAAAAACGAATGCTATAGACACATAGATCAGAAATATTTTCAATTTTTTTGCGAATGTTATCAACTACCGTATCACAAGTAATGATAAATAAAAATACACTTATTCAAAGTACTTGCTACCTTTTTATACCCAACTACACGCAGCTGGTAAATTTAACTAAATTGACCTTTA